TTTATTGAATGACCCTCGTATTTGTTCACGCTATCATCGACGTACACCATATTCGTTTGCCGATGACATTAAAATCGTATACACTTTCTGTCTGGATGCCTCTAATGATGCTATCAACATGATCCAACGCGACCTCTATGCGATTGAAACCTGGTTCTCTAAGTGGAAAATGTCTGTCTCTACTGACAAATGTACAATATCCCGTGTGATTTGGACCATAAAGGTGTGACACGCAATCTCTGCTCTAGGGTAAGAGAACTGGGATTGCGATATTCATGCTCACTTGACGTCTGTGAACAAGTAGGATATGCAACCGTGAGAGCAAGACAGAAAATCTGATTGGAATTCGGGGCTATTCCCTGCATGAATCAATATTTCGTTCCTACATATCAACTGTTCAACACATGGAATATTATTCGATGGTGTATAGTAGTTCAAAAAAGTCTGAATGAATTGCACTGGAACAGGTACAGAGAGCGTTCACAAAGCGCCTCCTAGGTTCTCTCCAAAACTGGAATTTTGTGAACTATTTAATAAGCTCAAACTTGATCCGCTCTGGCTACGGCGCACGAAGCAAAACTTAGTTATATTCTTCAACATACTGCACAGAAACATACGTTTCCAACATCAACATGACATTAATGCAATCAGCAGCATACAATAGACGAAACAAACAGAACTCAGTGGCGGAATGCAAATCCAAGACTAGCAGTTCTGCAAACATTTTCCATAACAAGTACGCCAGAGCCTGGCACAAGTTACCACCAGGAGCACGTGTCCGCACTTTCGAATACGAATTTGGAAAGAAAACAATTTCTTGTCTGTACAGAACAAGCCAAGCGTAAGAGCAGCGTCTAAGTTTCATATGACCCAGTACATGTTTCACCTGTGGTTTAGCTGTTCTATATGAGAGAACGGTTACGAGTCAGCCAAAATCATTTCAATCTAGTCACCATTTATTATGTCTTCGCTGATCATCCGAAAGACATTAGCAGATCTGATATTCTATCATGCTGATCCACCTGTGCTTATACAGCGGTTAATTTCTAGGCATTTTTGGTTAGGCACTGTTGATCAGTTACTTAGTCCTAACGAACAAGTGCAGTAAAATAGTAGCGATGGATCAGGAAATTGTCCCAAGTGTCTGAGTCTGGATTAACCTTGTAGGCACGAAATGCTCCATACATTATTGCCATGCATTTTCGAGTCTTGCTCCTTAGAATTGGAAGCATCTTTGCGGGATGAAGGGGCTTAGTCTCTGATGCTCTGTTGATCATGTCACTGAGTCTCTCTGTTCAAACGTTGTTAATAGTGCTGTTTGAGAATTTCCAAGCAGATGCCTTGACGAGTTCTTTCAAGAGGTAGTAGCGTGTGATTGTATGAGTTAGTTTCGAGTGTTCAGATGGATACTCTGCATAACAGACATAGTTAAACGTTATTATTACCTAGTCGCTGAGACATTAATCAATAACTTCTCAACCATGCGCTCTTTATTGGTGAGCACAAAGTCAAACATGAACGGTATATTTTCTGTTCTGAATCTAGTTGGCATGGTGACATGATTGTGCAAGGAAATATTAGCGATAAGTTCAAACAAGTCTGCTTTAAATAGCTCAATGGGTGATGCTGATACTTCCAGATTGGATATATTAAAATCCCCGAAGAGGAGAATGTGGCTGCACCTAGTGTGTGTTACTCTGTCCAGGACAAGTATCAAGCGGGAATTCATTTACTGAGTGGACGTTGGGAAGCAGTAAATGACAGCTCCGAGACATGTGGAAACGGCAACAGAACGAGTCGGTAACATGAATTTCCAGATCATCAATTATTGCTGGGGCGATCGTTCCGGATATTCCCGCTATCTCAACCTCAGTATCAACCATTACATGGTGCAACCGAGTTTCGGTAATAGAAATTAGATCGTAGGCATTCGCAACCTGACGCAGTCGAAGTTCGGTAGGTTTACTGAGGAGCCCTTGGGCGTTAGTGTACATACATGAAGGTTTCTTAGATTTAAACAATGGTCCGGAGGTTTTGCAACTCATATGTGAAGTTTCGCCGATCAGTGAGTGGCCGGCGACTAATCAATTTTTCAGTGTGTACTTGGAGAAGGGTTCAATGTTTTATTCATCATCTGCGTAGTTAGCACCGTGTCTAATCTTTTGCGTACAGTGAGGTGACCAGGTCAATATCATCTTCAAAAAGTTGTATGGGCTCACTAGACACATTACTGGTGTATTTTTCTTTTATAGACCCCATCGCGTTCGGTTCGTTGAGTTACGCATCATTTTTAGGAGGTACATCGCTGACTGTCTTCAACCGAAGCTGGTGTTTGACTTTAGGACCAGCTTCAACACTCTCCGGCTACTTGCTTTGTAATTCGGTGAGGTACGCAGCCGTGACATCGATTTCGCTAGCACCTCATCCAAACGGTGTTTAACGAATATAACACAACTGTTCTTTATCATGGGTTATTAGTTCATGCTCATCACATGCATCAGTTTGGGGAACCCCGTGAAGAAGAATGGTTCTAGTCGAAGTTTCATTCCGGTAGTCCTCTAAGATGCGGTTAACTCGATAACGCTCGCCTCATGGGACGTCTAGAAAGATACGGATGGAGCAGTGTTCTGGGTCTAGCAGTCAATAGTAGAACTGATTCTATTTCAGTGATGGAGTTCAGCAAAATGCGCATAATTCTTGGAGCTCCATAATGCTTAGAGTTGGGGTGCCGCGTAATACGCATTACGTGTGCAGATTTCAGTAAAACTCCGATTAGGTTACTAACAATGTCCTACTGGTCGACGTCATCTAACTGAAGGTTTCTAACTGATGTCGACTTTGATTCTGGAACAATGGAGCACAGTATGCTCGGTACAGGTAGTTGTTTCTTTACACCTCTCGACATGCCGCGGTTAGTGATTCAAATACTCGGGGATGTACCTCAGGAAACCGGGGATGCTTGTATCAGAAGAACTCCGCTTCGCTCTTGTTTCCGATGCAGTGGAGGGTGCTGTTAATTTTAAAGGACGGGTCTTCTAAATAGCAACCGTAACCTAACTTTCGCTAGTACCGGCTTGCTATTTTTCTATGCGCTCCGTCAGGAGAGTGGAAGTAGCCTTACGTGTAGTAACTCCGATCGAACTGAGAACCGCATTAGTCAAATGTGAGTTACTTGTAGAATTGGAACAGTAGTTGATTTTGTGGGCTATTGGTATTGTTTTGCTTGTGTTACTAGTTGTTCTTCTCATGATAGGAGAAGCACTTACTGAGGAGGCGTGTATTGCACGGTCCGCTATGGTGATTTTGGTCATCATTTCCTCAAACTTGGATAGTTGCTGGTCGTACTTCTGAGATAACAAAAGCATGCTGTTTATCAGTGGGATAGGTGTGCATTCCACACAGATCCATGGAGAATCTGGTTTGCAAATTAACCTCGCCTGACTAGATTTAACTCGGAAAAGCTTGCAACAATTAGAACACCTAATACCCCCTTTAACAACCATGGCACATGATCCACATAGGTCTTAAGACTGTGGCATGTTGGGCATTTCACTTGTTGAACAAATGTTGCGAACCATTAGAGTGACTTACCCTTGATGGTAAGCAGTTGTTCAGTTTCCGGCGTTGACGCCAAGCTCACAGCGTTCACTTTGCAGTTGTGTGCTTACAGACTGTCCTCTCTGGCGTGCCAGTCGAACGTGTCAGCGTGAAGGTGGGGTAGCTTACACGAGGGTGCGATTGAGAATTTCCGTGGTAAGGCCTACGGATCGCGTCAGGTGAATTAGCCGTGAGAACTGCAGCTGCTTCAGAAAATGTTGGATTTCAACGAGTGTGAGTTCGTTGGAAAGCCGTTAAAAAGGTCTGTCGGGTGAGACCAAACAATGTCTCCGATGGTTGGAGTTACGCAACTATTGGCGCTTGGATAGCGGAGAAACACCGCCGGGAGGTTAAAATTCAAGGTAAATGTACGATGCACGAGTGTAGTCAAGAAAATGGCATCATAAGGTTGCGCTTTTAAAAGTACGACGAATAAGTATAGATCCAAATATGTGTGACAAAGTGTCGCTGAGCAAAGGTTGAAAAAGCCACGAGTGTAGAAATAAGTGATTAGCACGCGAGTTCGTTCAGGGTCACGACCTTGTATGACTGATTTATCCGCAAGTGGTTACGTTTTGTTTTGAACCAGATTTGCGAGGGAAAGTGATTTTTCAGTGGCCTAGAAAATAGCCAGTTTGCAAAATAAACATATTCAACAAAAGTAACGGTAAATTGGGACCTTTCATTTTTGTGGCAGTTAAATGGATACCGTCAAACGCCAATCTGAGATGGGTTGATAGTCGACATTGCCTACTGAATAATGTTGGGAGAAATTTCGTCATCCTTTTACTTATTGGTTGTTATGGATTGATGGTATACATGTAAAGAGTAGGATCTGGAAATCTGAAGCATTAAAGGCAATACAGATGGCAACTGGGCTACCAAGGGGTTTAGCATGTTCACATAGAAGTTTCATGAAAAAAGAAGAGCATGTTTGTTATACGACGAAGAATAGCAATGGGTCTTTTATTGCTTTGTAACCCGTTTGTACAGCATGTTCTTCCTTGTGTTTGAGTTTCATCGCATGTGCATGGCTGGTCATAATAGTCTTCGTGCAGTAATGCTTTTCCAAAATACCTACCCTTGTGAAGTTTTGCTGTCAGTTTTCGCGTCTTCATGTTGAGTAAGCTTTTGTAGAGCTAAAAGTGACCCGTTTGCTTTGCGGAGTAAGATATTGTAATGTCAGAATGCCGTTCTCCATGATCTCCTGAAGTCTAGCAACAAAGTTAACCTAAGGTGCTAACAGATGAAACTTTCTGCGAGAGACAATCGGTTAGGGTACCGAACAAATTTTTACTTTCGACGTTGTCAGCTGCGGAAAGCACTTCCGTCCTATGACAGTGTTGCGCCCAGTTATCCACTTAGTAAAAAGGCATGATAATGCATTATCCCATTAACAAGACGTGATATTACCCGTGTTCAAAGAACGATGATATCACGGGAGAATAGTGTTATAACCTCTCTCCTCTCCTCATGAAATAGAGGTACGCGGTTCGAATATCATGCGGAATATTCGGATACGTCTTTTACTTTGGATGATGAACCACACAAGGTGGAAATTACAGAAAGCCGTAGCAATGAAACCTACAGAAAGGTGGTCGGTTAAAAAACTAACAGTGAATAAAATGCACCGAAACGCTTTGCATTTGAAGGCAGTAGCGAAATACGTAAAGTTTGTGCAATAATAAACATGGAGGTGGAATAAAACATCATAATTCATCAAATTTACGTGTGGAAGAAGACGCTTTCCGAAGCAACTCAATAATGTCGGTTAATAGTTTGTGTAAGTCAGTGAAGAACAGGTCAAATTCACTTTCTTTTGAAGTAGACAGGTCGAGATACTTTCGCTCCAGAATCAAAAGTAGTTTATTAGTGCTGACATTGGCTGCGAACTGCTTGCCACATATAGGAGATAGATGAAGCAAAGCAAAAAGTACCCTCTGAAGCTGGTCGTGGTTCATATGTGCTCCCACATCTTTTTGGATCAACCCTTCCATCTCGGCCACAAGAAATTCACATGCGCGCGTACACCAACCTGACTGCAAGAAGAGTAGCTCAAATGGGATTCTACAAAAGTATAATGAAGGAGAAACACATCAGCACAACTTGTATGGCAACAAGAATTTTGAGTACAATGGGAGACTGCCAACAGTTGTCTGCATCCATCCAAGAAAATAACGAGACTTCATTAGTGGAAGAGTTGTGATTACGCTATTAGCAATAACAGACTTGAAGAAAAATGTCATTATATGACATTTACACAAGGTGAGGTAAAAAAGTGTGACCGAGGAACGGGATGCAAAATGCAAGTCAAGCCGAAGTATACGTTCACGTGAATATTGAATAGATGGTAAATATTCCAATATAATGATCAAGGTAAAAGGGCTTTTTAACGAGCACACATCGAATGGGACGTGGCACGGAAATGGTTTGCGCGATGAAGCTCAGCGTTAAAATACGAAGCTGGAAGCCTGAAGCTTGTTGAAGCCAAATAAGCATTGGTTCTTTGGGAGCATCGCGACATTGTACCTTAACGTGATGCGATGGTTTGCGTGCCACGTCGATCTGTTAAGCTATGCTGGGTCGAGCTTTTTGCATCTTCACAGCTACTCATACCAGATTGCAGTGATGAGAGGCCAGATCAGTGCTTATAAAAAACTAGCCTACTAGAATTAACCTCGGTGCCCAACGTGCGATCACTCACAAGTGACACTTGCTCGTTGTGTTTGTCTGGACGTAATGCAGCTTCAAATACTGGGCAAGCCGATGTGGGTATTACTCGGAGGGCTCAGACTGAAGCTGACCCGGTTAAATTGATCCCAATCAACAGCCGAATGTGTGCCGTCAGATTGGCTGATGCGGACTAAGCTATGAAGCCGCGCACAGACGAACGGTGCCTGCTTATCATTGCGGTCTACGCCCCCACAAACTGTAGCGCTGACTCAGGGAAAGATGAATTCCATCATCAACTGAACGAGCTTCTTCGCTACAGGAAAAGTACGGATAGTGTTGCTTGGTGATCTGAACGCCCAAATTAGAAAAATGACCACTGACGAGCCGCATTTTGTAAGACAACACGGTGTAGCCTCCCGTAAAGAGAAACGTGAGCGGTAAAGATGCCCGTCCAGTTCTCACAGCACCCGCCGGAGAGTGACGTGGCGCCTCGAACCACCCATGGACTTAAATCGATCACATCGCGATCAGTTAAGGCTAGAGGCTGTGTCCAAAACTGTAGCCCGATTTGGTGCACGAGCGTGGACTTTGACCACACAGTCGTTAGTGCCGATCTTACAGTTTGCTTCGTTGGACGCATTGGGCGACGCTGTGAGCACCAGCTGGCGAAGCCAGATAGGGTAAACACGTATAAAGTACGCTGGCATCCGAGCTGAATAAGCGTTCCTTGAACACAGTACAGGGCCACTGGTCCCATAGTTCGTATTGAGCGAAAGATGCCTGTGACGGCATGTTCAGGTAAATAAAAGCATTTTCTAGTGCATCAACCACGAGTGGCCGAAAAAAGGAACAACAGCAATACAAAACGATTTTAAATTTTGATATAGCATAAGGGTTGATTGATGTTCCAGTGTGTTATTTGATATTGCATAGTGCCTGTATCGGCATCGATAAGCCTCTTAAGAATATGAATAAAGAAAGCTGAAAAAATGGTTATGGATAAAATGAAAATGGTCCTAACACAGGTATAATGTAAGCAAGATATTTACTTTAAGCACACTGTGAAGGTTCCTTTGCTCAATGCTATTCAGTAGTATCGCATCTAACTGCGGCGCTCACAACATACCGGAGCAAGAGAGGCGGGTAGAAAAGAGAAATGTAAGAGTAGACTGCAATAAGAGCTGTAAGAACATCAAGGATGAAGACACAGAATATAGGGGCATGTACAGTTTGCTTCCTCCCTCAATAGACACCTGCTGCTGATAATATTAGCCTTGGCATAGCAGCAGCAGGCATGTCATGCGACAACTCAAGTTGCAGACCTGGATATTGGATCTCTATGCAGACTTGAACTTCTCAACGCTAGCCGACATGTTCTGCTGAGGACAAACACAAGACACGCAAGGACCTCAGGGCGAAACTGCGAGGCAGCTTGCAGAGAGACCGCGAATCCTAATGTTCTCATCGTGCATCGGTGATGGAAATGGCCGGTACCCTAGGCAAGTTATTCTGTCTGATACGAGAAAGCAGGGGCAGGAAACTATGTTAGCGAAAACATACGTGAAGATAGTGGACAGCCAGTCCACAGTTTGCCAAAACGCTAGGAGCGTTGGGCGGTTTAATCATGCAGTTACCAGATCCTACATTGGTCAACGATTGCACTTCTCCCTGGGTCTGCCTTCACGCGCAGAAGTCAAACGTGAGACCAGACGGCTGAATAAGGCCGTATAAGCGGATAGACTTCATCCGGTTCTCTTCAAATTCGGGGGACTTGCCCTTGTGGATGATCTGCACAACTTATTTGTGAAACTGTGGGAGCAGGAAGCTGACCCAGTAAAGCATGGACGCTCCGTTATAGTCCCAATTTGCAAAGGGGGCTCACGTTCAGGATGCGGCAATCGTAAAGGGGTCAGTCTGGTCTCAAATTACTTTAGGATACTCGCCTCCGTCACCCGTGAAAGCCAAATTCGTGAGGAGCAAGCCGGGTTTCATGGAAGTCGTGGTTGTGTTGATCACATCGTCACATTGCGTTAATTGTTGGAGCACCACCATACTAATCGGGGACCCACCACAACCATGTTTCGAGATATCAAATGTGCCCTCGATTCGGTTGATCGATGTGTCCTTTGGGACTGTGCCCGAAAAATAGGTAAATATCAGAGCGCTGTGCGTGCATAGCTTACGGCAAGCGGTCGCCGCTCTTCAATTACTTTAGCGGTGTGAGACAGGGGTGTTCGCTGTCACCTTTTCGTCGTCTCATCTACATTAGGGATTATGATTCCGAAACCCAGTTCTTAGTTGATATTGGAGAGGAAGTCAGCGTCATTCCCCCTACCTCAGGAGTGCAAGTCACTTCTTTGTCGACAAGCTTAAGTCCCGCCAATGGCACCCCAATAGCCACCTATGGTCATCGGTCGTTTAACCTGGACCTAGGTCTTCGGTGCACGTTCAGTTGGGTATTCACCGTTGCCGCAGTCCCGCTAACCGTCAACGGTGTGAACACTTCCTCAGGCATTTCGACCTCTTGATCGATGCGAAAAGCCAGATAACAGCCGATACAGCAATGAAACTCAGTGTACGTGGTATCGACGCCGATATCGCATCTATCCCTCTTCGATCTACGTCTTTCCCCAGACCACGCCAGACTACAACAACCTCTTCTCCCAGTACTTCAAGCTCGTTTGGCCAATGAACGCAGCTATGCCTGAGGCATCCATAGTTACGCACCAAATTAAGATAAATGGCCCACCCATCTCACGCCGACTTTCACCAGAGAAAGTTAAGAAAGCTAGGGCGGAGTTCGAACACATGCTCGATTGTTCCTAAGAAACCTGGTGACTGGCGCCCTTACGGTGGCTACCGCGCACTCAATATGCAAAGCGTCCCAGATAGGTACCTCATCTCACACATGCAGGCCCTCCCCGGATGTCCCCTAAGTAAGACGATTTTCAGTAAGATCGATCTGGTTTGTGCCCATTAACAGATATCAGTAGAAGCGAAATACATTAATAAACAGCTGCCATCACTTCTTTCGACCTGTTCAAATTTCGAAAGATGCCTCTCGGACTGTGCAACGTCGAACAAACATCCCAACGCTTCATATATGATGTCACTCGATGTCCAACCTCCGCCTATTTCGACCTCGATGACATGCTGGTGGTCAGATCGTCGGAAGAAGAGTATCTTGACCACCTTCGAGCTCTCTTTCAGCATTTGACCAAATAAGGTGTCACAGTCAACCAGACTAAGTGCGAAATCGGCAAGTCAATGGTAGAATTCCTAGGCTACCTCGTTTAATCGTGGTATTGAAGTTCTTCCTGATAAGATCCACGCAATCAAGAAGTACCCAGCTCCGACTTCATTCAAGCAACTGGCGACATTGTGGTATAGTTAACTTTTATGGACGCTTTATTCTTCGCTGTGTTCAGCTCATGCAGCCTTTGACCGACCTCCTCAGAGAAGAGTGTAAGTTCGCTTTCCCGAACACAGCACACACGCCATTTACTGAGCTCCAGGATGTTATCTTAAACATAGCTACTCTAGCTAATTCTGAATCAAATGAATCTCTCTCTACCCCGACTGATGCTTCAGACGTCGCGGTAGGAGCTGTCCAAAAACAAAACGATGGTGAGCAATGACAACTTTTCTGTTTCTTCTCCAAACGCCTGCAGTCAGCGGAATCCTGCTACAGCACGTTCGGCATAGAATTGCGTGCCATCCAGCTAGCCATTCGCTACTTCCAGCACACACGAGAAGGTCGCGCTTTCGCGATGTACATTAATCACAAGTCTTTCAACTTTGCCTCATTGCCGACCCTCTCAGTATTTGCCAACTATCGACCTTGCCGCATGACATCGGTTTAAGCTTAAGATGAAGACCCCCAATGCACCCTACAGTCCACTTCACTGCTTGTACAACCCGTTCCTTTCCAAATCACGGACACTTCCACAGGTTGTCCTAGGCCCATCGTGCCGATCTCTTTGAGATGCATTGTCCTCGACACGCTCTACACATGATCACATTGTTGAAGTTGGTCACCGAGCGCTTCGTTTGGCTACACGAAAACAAATGTTCGTACTTGAGCTCACGCGTGGCATCACTGCCAGGACTCCAAAATACATCGGCACAGCCGTATTCCGTTGGGCTCATTCCGCGCCCCAGACGCTCATTTCCCGCATGTAAATCTAAACCCGGTAGGTCCTTTACCTATTTCACGCGGACTCGTATACATGCTTAAATGTCGATTGCTTCATCATATGGCCAGAAGCCATTTCCGCTACAGAATACACACCTGGGACTACTATCCGGGCCTTCTTGGGTCGCTTGGTCCCGCATTACGGATGGCCATCCACCATCACAACTGAGCGTGGAACGCTTTCCGAATCTTCGGCAGC